CACTGAGTCTTAGTCTTGGAAGGGGATTTGCCCTGAGGGGACCCGATGGCTTGGCTTGATGTCTGCTGGGATATCATGAACTCTTGAAGTCTTTTTTTCTGTGTACTATAAATTCCTTAATCTTCATCTGAGATTCCATTTTTGTGAGAACTGTTGCTCATGGACATATGGATAAAGACTGTACTGGAGTTATCATCTGTGTTGACAAAGACATCAACATCATCATCATCAATCATCAGACACAAGGTCATCAACGTTGGGAGGAATCATCTTATTGTATTTCGTCTTAGCATCACTAGATCGCTGTAGTTTTGCCACAGTGTGTTAGCACTTTTGTAAATGTACACTCCCAGCATGTCTTGTACTGACTGTCCTCTGAGTCACCGAAATACAGGCAGACAGACAGAGGGTAGCCAACGAAAAGCATACACGTCTGTCCTGTCGTGCACTCAGATGCATCCTGTCTATCCTGTAATGGATGTGCTTTGTACCTTGAAATTTGCAGTGTTACTATTATGACTCTACAACAACAGTATACATTTATGTGGCTATAGAAAAAGCTCCTAGATTTATTGAATTTCGAGTCCCGCCTGCAGTTGCCTTGACAGGATTATACCAAATGATTTCAAATAGGATAAGCACTCTACCTCAAAGTCAGTGGTTCAAACCCACCAGCAGCTCCTCGGAAACCCTACCCAGTGTCGCTAATGAGTCAGAACTGACTCAGTGGCACTTAACAACAATAATACGGATGTTCCCCACCCCTGCTATTTAGAGAATCGCTATGATTCAGAACTGAGTTGACAGCACTTAACAACGATTTATATATATATATAAAATAAATCAATGGGATTGACTGATGAGAGGTATGAGACTTCTTTTTGGGGAGATGAAAATGCCCTGAAGTTGACTGTGGGGGTGGCTGCCCAACTCTATGGATATACTACAAATCACTGACTTGTACATTTTAAATGGCTAGATTTGTATGCTATATAGTTATATTGCAATAAAGTTCTGGTGGTGTAGTGGATTATGCATTGGGTTGCTAACCACAAGGTCAGCAGTTCAAATCCACCAGTCGCTATGTGGAAGAATGATGAAGCTTTCTGCTCCTGTAAGACTGACAGGCTTGGGACCCTATACAGGGAGGGCTGCTATGAGTTGGAATCAATTCTACAGCACATTAACCACCAACCACCAAAGCTGTTAAGCCATCAAAAAGAGAGTTCCTCCTAGGAATATGAGAAGAAACCAAATTGTTTCAGTCAAAGGTTCCTCACAGAAAGTCAGCTGTTGTTGTTAGGTGCCATTGAGTTGGTTGTGACTCATGGTGACCTGTGTAGGGTTTCTGAGGAGCAGCTGGTGAGTTTCAACTACCAACCTTGCAGTTCAAACCAACCTTGTGGTCCAGTGCATTATCCTGCAGCACCAAACCAGGACTCCAATTATATCCCAACAAAAACCCCCCAACAGTTTGGCAAGAGGAGAGTTTTCATTTCAACTCAAAAAGGCTTATCAGGCACGGAATTTACATACCTCTGCTCTCCCTATACCTGCGGTACAGGATATAGAAAATTGTTGCACTGGCTGGGATGCCAAGGCCCAAAGCTATTTTCTGAATAGTGGACAGGTTTGTCCAAGAAGTCCGCTCGGTGCACATTTTCTGCTATATTCTGACTTACATCCTAAAACAAGAAAAGGAGCGTTTATTGAATCGTTGAATGATTGACTAATAAAGAAGCATGGGAATTCATGCCTCATTTATATTATATTGTTATTCACATTATAATAATACTGAAAAGACCACTCCTGCCTACTCTTCCATATCAAGAACCTCGGCAGTCTCAAAACTTATTGCATTTAAAAGCCCTTAGGGTATTAACAAAAAAAAGTTAGCTGAAAGGACATAAACATCAATTCAATAGAATACTTCCCCCACTCTGCCCCAACAGCTATGTATTTATCTCAATTTTAAAAGTAACAAAGTTGTTAAATGAATCAACATTTAAAAATTTTTATATAATTTAAGAATTCACATCAAATTATTTGAAATTCCTTATCTGTAACCTGTGAGCTTCCACACCTTTCCAGAAGTTGTCGTCTTACATTTAGAGAATACTTTTTATTAGTTTCTGTAATCAAACCCATGTAGATAAGACCTTACATATTTAATACAGTACATTACCCCTGTACAAATGGAAAAAAATACTAAGTTTAACGTTTCTAGACCAATATGGTGGTTAATTTCCGTACAATGCCAACTCAACACGGTATAACAGGGATACTTTTTCCAAAGTTGACAGCACAGCTAAAGTTTCCAAAAATTCAAATTATATATATGTGTGTGTGTATATATATTTATATTTATATATAAAAGACCAATGGCTCACCATTCTGGGGTACTAAAGGCCTTGCTACTTAACCTCGAAAGTAGTCTTTAGTTACTATCTGTACTTCTGATTTCCAGTTACTCCTCAACCAATGGTTACAGTGGGCTCTGTCATGCTCCTTTTTGCCGAAACTACAACTCTTCAGATAATCAACTTAGAGGCTGCTGGTATGAAGCCTCATCTCTCTCACCTTACATCTGCAGAGGCAGGAAGACATCCATGCCCCATCCACAAAAAAAACTCTTCTGGGGTTTTGAGCCCTTTTTTTTTTCGTGGTTTCTCCTCTTTCCCTGGAGGATCCTCCTGAGTTTCCAGCGTGGCCTCTATCAATCCCTATTTTGTCACTCTGCTCTCTCTGGGCCATTTCATGTACATCTATACAAGTTGAACTGCTACCCATATGATAATGCCTCAGCAACCTCGCAAACTGGCCTGACTGAGATGGTTCACTAAATCTCAGACCACTGCAATGGCCTTCTCACTGGTGGTCCTACAAGGAGTCTCTCTCTGAAACTGTATCTTCATTTTACTACCAAGCAAATGTTAACTTGTCCCTAACTGTATTTCCTTTGGACTCCAAATGTGGTGCTGTAGGGTCAGCACTGGGCTGTGAACCACAAGATTGGCAAATCAAAACTACCTACTGCTCCTCAGAAACCCTATACAGGGTTCGCTATGAGTCGGAGTAGACTCGGTGGCACTTAACAACAACTTATTTCTTATTCCACATCATTTTTCATCTTCTTAGACAGTTACTTTATATCCTCACTTCTCTTCTAAACCTCTAGTGTCTCCTTCCCCATCCACATATCAATGGATGTCCTTGTTTTCTATTTCACTGAGAAAGAAAAGCACTCACAGAGATAGTCCACAAGCTTCCATCATATTTATCCATCTACCTCCATCCTTGACAATTATTCTTATCTTCTAAAGTCTCTCTCAAAAGTGTTGCTCCGCCAACTCTTCTGATTCATCATCATTAGTATTTTCTTCTTTACTGTTATCTTTCTGTCACTATAGCATATACTATTATTTTTCCCTTCTTAGAGAAAATCCTTTCTCAACTGTCCTTCAACTACTTCTTATTTCTTTGCTTCACTTTACAGGGAAATTCAAGACAACTGTCCATACTCTGTCTTCATTGTTCTTTTTGCTCTTGTGAAGGTCCCCAATGTCTTCCCATTGGTCAATTCTCATCCTCACCTTCCTGGACCTCACATAGCAACTAGCACAGCTGGTGACTCCTTCTGTGAAGCACTTTCTTCACTTGGCTTCCATGACAGAACACTTGCCTACTTTTCTTCCCCTCTTTGCGCTGTACCATCTAGCAGGAATCTCAGACTTAACAGGAACAACACTGAGCCCCTGATCTTATCCACTTCCCGTAAACTTGCTATCTCATAAATAGCAATCTTTTTCTTTCAGTTGCTCAGACTTAGAGCTATGCTCTCTCAAAGGGCAGATCCAACCTATCAGCAAATTCTTTTAGCTCTATTTCAAATCATATAGAATTTGAACGTTTTTTAGCTCTCTACTGCAAAGGAGCTCTGGTAGCGTAGTGAATCGGGCTGCAAACCGCAAGGTCAACAGTTCGAAACTACCAGCTGTTCCGAGGGAGAAAGATGAGACTTTCTGCTCCCGTAAAGATATGCAGCCTCAGAAACCCTGTACAGGTTAGCTATACGAGTCAGAACCGACTCCACGGCACATAACAACAACAACTGCAGTAACGCTGTGGGCTAATGCATCAGACTGCAAAGTCATTTGAACTGGAAGGTCGGTGGTTCAAGCTCACCAGCTGCTCTGTGGAAACCCTACACAAGGTCACTGTGGGTCGGAATTGACTCAGTGGCACTTAACAACAACATACCACCATTATCTCTTGCCTAATTAAGGCAATTGCTTGGTAGCGTAGTGGTTACGAATCGGGCTGTGAACCTTAAGGTCAGTGGTTTGAAACTACCAGCCACTCCACGGGAGAAAGATGAGCCTTTCTACTCCCGTAAAGATTTACACCCTTGGAAACCCCGTACAGGGTTGCTATAGGTCGGAACCGACTCAATGACATTTAACAACAACAATTAAGGCAATTGCTTTCTATTTACCTCTCTGCATTTGTCATTGTTCATTCAGTTTATTCTCAAAATAGCTGGATTAAGTCAAATACCAATACTCATTTGCTCAAAACCTTTCATTCATTATGATTAAAAGTCAAAGTCATTAAAATGCCCTACAAGATCTTCTTTATTTTGATTGAATATAAACTCCACAAAAATCAGGACTTTTTGATTAATTCCAAGCTATATCCTCAGTGCTAAGCACTCAGTAGCCAATCAATAAATATTTGGTCAATGGAGTCCTGGTTAGGTACTATAGGATAAACAGTGGACTGCTAACCACAGGGTCCATGGTTCAAACTCAACAACTGCTCCTTAGAAACCCTATACAGGATCACTTTAAGTCAGAATTGATTCTCACAACACAAGGGTCATTTGTTAAATGAATTTCCTCTTACTTTCTGAGCATCAGTTTCCTAAACGTAAACTCCTTAATGGCATGAAAGTTTCTTCATAATCTGATTTCTGCCTACTATTTTCACAGGTTTTTTCTAACCCCATCTCTACTAGGAGAATAGTATGTGCTTTCTTATGGATCCTTGCTGTGGTACTCTGTCTTCCTAGGGGTCTTAGTTATCTAGTACTGCTAGAATGGAAATGCCATAGATGCTAGCCACAAGGTCGGGGGTTTAAACTCACCAGCAGCTCTCTGGCAATTCTATATAGAGCTGCTATGAGTCAGAACCGACTTAACATCATAATAATTTGGTTTCAATTTGTATATATGGAGGCAAGTTATACCTTTAAATAAATTAAAATTTCCTCACTACTTTTTTTTTATGTTGAAAAGGTCATTTTAATAGATAATTCTTCATCTTACATAGGCGCACAATAAAATACACCACATTCTGAAGAAACTCCATAAACTGTCAGAATAAGAATAGGAAAAATTCAGATGGGCAATAATATCCATTACCTTAAATTACAAGAAACAAAGGTTCCATCCAACTTGCAGGTTAACATTTTTTACTTAAAAATAGCAAGAATCAGGGCTCAGATATTGAGAAGGGTGGGAACAAATGGCTTTGTAGGACAGGAAGATAAATTGTCAATAACAACAACAAAAAATTAAGTGTCAAATTAAAGGATTCAAAGGAGTTCCCATAGCAAATACTGGAGGGATGAAAGCAAGAATCACTAGTGGAGGATTTGATACCCTCAAAGGCAGACACCTTTCTGATGATACCTACTACAAGCTGATTGCTGGAGATTTCCTCATCAATCTAGAAAGAACATGGATTATGCCGCTTCAAACCCAAATGATTATCAGCAGAGATCAGTGTTTCCTAGTAACACACACCAATGGTCTTACATAAAATGTTCAGACAACAGACTAAGAAAAAGCTCAAAATCCAAATGTGAAAGGCCAATATATTGATGAAAACTGGGTTTTTTTGCTGTGACTTTCCGGTACAGTAATTCTCAAACATTGTGGCAAGACACCAATGATCGTCTAACTAGTAAGACAACTTAAGCACATTTACAAATTTCTAAGCAGAAAATGATGTCAGATACTGATGTTTTCGGCATGCTCAGGGCCAGTTTATAAATACACTATTCAGTAATAGTTTAAAACATATTTGTTCCAGCAAAAAGACACTAAGAAAATCCACTTTTTGCCATTCAACTTGTCAGATGGTGATGATCAAGACAGCATGTTATATTGGAGTATTAGTTTTAAAATACGATTGTCACATTAGGAAAGTGAAATAAACTATACAAAGGCAAAGTAGAATAACAAAAAATATTTTACTACAACATAAGATTTATAGACGTTTCCAGACAAGCCATATAAAATGGCTACAGCTTTTTCTTGAAAGAAGGATTCTACACTTGACAGTAAAGTCACAATGTTAGTAATGAGGGCTGTGATGTTTGTGTAATGTTCCCATTTTGGTTGAAACAATCAAGCTTGTCCATCTACAGCATCTAAATAAAACTAGACTTGGCTAGAGGATATATTCTAATGAACAACTGTTAGCTGCTTTTAACCAATGCAATTGTGATGGTGGTTATGTGATGTGGAGTCGCTTCAGACTCACAGCGACCCTGTACAGAGTTTCCGAGGCTGTAAATCTTTACGGGAGCAGAAAGCCTCATCTTTCTCCCACGGAACAGCTGGTAGTTTCGAACTGTTGACGTTAAGGTTCGCAGCCTGATTCGTAACCACTATGTTACCA